AAGCTGCTTCTTCAAATTGAAACAGTTACGATGTTTTCCGTAAATGGCGTGGACGCCATAAGAGAGTCACGTTGGATAGATTTCTTTCACAGGAGCACATAACAGGCAACAAATTGCCGAGCATGCATGACCAGTTCACTCAAGTATTTTGGGCATCCGCATTTTAACAGCTTTTAATGTAGTTCGATGGCGGAGAACCGAAATCTTGGAGTGACATTGTGATTTCAAAGAAAGCGACTTGTAAAAATTAGTGAATGAATAACCAACAACCAACAAATTTGCAGCGCTCCTTCTGCGTAGTGAATCGTTCGTCAGAAAAATAAATTGCATTAACACAGAGCATCTGACGATGACGAACTACCGAACGGTGATGCCATTCCAATATGGAGCACATTGTCAACAAGTGTCCAATATAGTGATGTTACGCTACTTCACTAGTCATCTCTTGAAGTCAGCGCTGGTGTTCAGAGCTGTCAGTAGACCTGTGATTTTCTTACTTATCTTACGAAAATAAATACAATATACAGATGACGCGGTGTAAGAACTTTATTCTCTGTATGCCTTCGTGCTGTCTGAGATAGTCAGTCTGTAAAAAACATGGATCCCACGGTACGGTAAACCTGTGTGGTACCACGAAAAGCGAACACATTCCATTGATTTCGTTTCCTTTTTTACAATTTTTTCGGTACGTTTCTTTTTGAATTGCAATCTTTTGCAGGTGGTGCTCCGCAATAAGTGTTCATAATTCTTTTTAATTTGCTCAACGGTTGCAGTTTTCGTCTTCATTATAAATATCGGTGCCTGTTTGTAGCTAATGATTGGCCTGGAATGCAGTCATCGGTTCTGTATGTCATGCTGGATCACTTACTTGACGACCAAGATCATGGACGAAGGGATGGGACAAGTAGGTAGTAATTTTGCCCGTGGTTCATTATCTCCGTGCTTTACAGACCATATCTTGCGCGGCTTATAAGTGTGACATCCTCGTCGACGACAGTATCATCATGTAAGTACAGAATCTAAACTTTATTGGTCGATTTTTATATGTATCTGAAAATGTTGCCCATATCTGTTGTTGAAAGCGCATGTAACTGGGGTAAGAATAATTAGCAAATCTGCCACTGCTCCGGATTGACACGGTCTGGCAGCACTGTCTCTTTGCTTCTAGAAGCCGCATATGGCAAAATTTGAAGCCGCAGCACCATGATTTGTAGCATCTAGAGTGTATGGAAAAATTAGTTTAATTTGTGGAAGGGACACGTGTTTGTAATTCTTGCCAGTTGTTGTCCTTTCAACCCTGAGTCGACAAATGAACCACGTATTCACGGACAACAACAAAAATGGCTCTTTACAAGGTTTTACGTTTAAATATAATACAGTGAATGAAAAGTGTTTATTATCGCATGCCCTAATTCAGTAATATTTTGAGGGTTATCGTCTTATGTTAAATTTATTGACCTTTCGCATGGCTAAAAAATTTGACCTCAGACTGACTCCGGCTGTCAAGCCATCCTAATAGCAATTGGCTTTCACCACTCTTTTATTAAACAATTTTCTCCACCGTTGCAAACCCCAATACCGGCAAGACATCAGTAGTGCTTTTTGTTATTTAATATCGTTGTGTACTTATGTGGTTCGGAGGAGCGTAATCTTGAAGTACAGCCGTGGAGTAGTCGTCTGTGAGCGACGTAATTTCGCGAATCATTGGTATGTGTCATGGTTGGTGAAATCATGTCTGCAGCTGATTCCCTGAGCGGCTAATATACACGCTCGAAGCGGTAACAACACGGCATTAAGATTAATATATACTGAAATTGGAATCAAGTTTTCTTTCTGTCCGTATTTTTTAAAAATTTGTTTTTCTAGGAAAGTATTAAAAGAACGAAAAGTGAAAATGCGCTATCAACATCTCATCACAAATAACTTCGTCGAGGTACGCTTTGTTAACGAGCCTTACGTCTCTTCTGTATTAATGTGCGTATGTAGATGTGTTTAGTTTCTTCTGTTTGTAGTTTTATTGCATAACTTTACTGAAAGTTGAAATTTGAAATTTTTCCCGCTACTGCTGAGCATTCATTTAACACAATCGAATATCCGGCGACTATATTTCCCATTCAGTCTTTGCATAATGCTTAGCTCTGAATACCGCAGAGCACCAGCTACTTTGCCGAATAAAACAAAATCTGTAAACAGCGGATCCCTGATAGATATGTATCTTTTTGTCCTGTAGCAAAGCACGGTCGAATGTTATTGGAGCGCATTTGGGATAGTTCCCCTGATGCTAATGGTCAAGTCTGACTATTCGCATTAGACGTTGATATCAGTTTTTTGCTGCTTTACTGCACGTCATGAAACTGTAGAACAACTTTGACATGGCGAATCAGGCTGGATTCAAAATGAAAGAAGAGTTATTTGGCTAACACAGTTAGCGCAACATTATTAATTAAAGGTGCTCAGCTTTTGAGAGAGATAGAGAGGAGTGATAATCGCAGACGGATTGGTGACCGTGACCCCGGAAATGCCACAAAATGTAAATTTAACAGAACTGTTTTGCAGTGCACTCCGCAATCCAGGCAACTGCCACGATACTTTCTGCAAAAAACTATCGGTACAGAACTGATTTTTAGTGACATTCCTTCTAGATACAACATGCAACCGCGTTTAGCGGAATCTGAATGTTCTGTCAATGCTTCTCAAACAGCTTGTTACAAACTGTTTTCAGTTTGTTGAAAAAGTTTCGTTTGTATCTGATGACTACTTGGTCAGTATAAATGTATGCTGCAGTAACGTGGACCTTTATTAAGAAAGAAATGAACATACTTATTGTGCGTAACTGTTTGTTGGCGCTAAACTACTGGATTCGGAAAGGTTGCTCAGAAAATTTGTTAAATTGCATAGTGGTATAGTATCAGTTATTTCTGGAATTGTTAACTGTTTTCAACAGGTCGTCCATCATCATCGTAATTCGTTGTGAATCAGGTCTATGCACCAGTCCAAGTGCTTTGTCGAGCACGTCGAAAGAAACGGTTGATGATTAATAGTCAAAGCGATCCGAAGAACTTGTTGATGGATACACTTCGAATAGTTGCTTTCCTTCCTTGATAGAAGAGGTTCTAGACACCATAAGTGAATGACTACTGAACCCCAGGCGACCGCTACATTTTATTTAATTCTTGATATAACGCTGACTCAGCAGTAGGTGAAATATTCCCATGTACTGGCTTTTGTTTCCTTCGTTGTCGCTGATGAAGTGCATTAGATTCGGTCACTGCTATCTCTGTCCCTTGGTATAAAGTTGTTAGGGTGACTTCTTAGCAAGCGGCGGCGAATTTGCTGCTCTTGCGGAAGTGATTTGTACAGTGTGTGGCTACCGCTAATATCTTATAAGTCAGCTAGGATCCAAGAAATCCGTCATTCCATCGGTCAGAACTACAGTGGGTAAGTCCAGAGTTGCATTTTGCAACGTTCGTTCCTTGTCTGGCGGAGGTAAGTTAGATTATGTCTGCCGTTCTGGTCTTTGGTACAGATTTGATGTACTTGCGATCACGGAAGCTCACCTCCCGGGAAGAGAGCGCTTGTCCTGTGGGATGCGTGGTCACTGGTGGCCAGGCCACAGTAGATTACGCCGTGTCACTGTGGGTACTTCTTGTCCCCTACGGTAAACCGGGCCTTCATTTCAGTGGAACGGATGTCGAATCCTGATCTGTCCCGTGAATGTCAAGCAGGCGAATGTCAGGGTATCAAGCGACTGCGACGCTCGGCAGTTAGTGATTTGATACGTCGCAATTGTTACAGGCGATTTCAACACGAC